TTCCTATTTGATTGTTCAAATAAATTTAGATTAATTATTTTGGTACTTAGTTAGACACAATCCTCGTGGGTTCGACACTCTATTCATCATTATATTACTTGGAGCGACTAGTACACTTGCTAGGGTGATTTTAGTGCATCATAGCTCGCCACTTTGTAGATAATTTATGAGCGGGGTGGTCCAGCTCGGTGTAGAGGGATCTGTACTTAGCAGTTGACACTCGACTGTGAAATCAGTGTAGCTCGGTGCGTCGAGTACCTCGACAATCATTGATCTTTGAGGGTTAATGTCTTGCGAGGAGGCCAACTTTGACAGCTCGTCAGCTCGGTGGTTGTCTGCTCTTGGTATTTTATCAATTTGGAAAAGGGCAAATATCGATTTCAATCTGTTGACCACAGAGGCATAACGACTGAGCTGGGGATCCCTGATGTCGCAGCTGCCATTCACCTGGCCCACTACGAGCTGTGAGTCACTGAAAACCTGAATGCTTTGTACTTTCAGCTCGGACGCCAGCTTTAGTCCGTAAATGAAGGCTTCATATTCTGCAGCGTTATTGGTCGTCTGAAACTTAAACCTCAGTGCGTGCTCAGATTTAAAGCCATCTGGGCCCAGTAACACAGCCCCAGCACCCGACCCTTCAATGTTGGCTACTCCATCAACATACAAAACCCAGACTGGGTGTTTGGGTGCTTTTTCTTCTTTAGTTCTTGAGGTGCACTCCACCAGAAAGTCCGCAACGGCCTGGCCTTTTATGGTTGTGCGCGGCCGAAATTTCAGGTCATATTCACTCAGCTCGACTCTCCATCCAATAAGCTGACCAGAGAGTTCAGGTTTCTGCAGTATTTTCCTCAATGGTAAATCGGTATAGGCAACGATTTGATGAGACTGAAAATAAGCTCTCAGCTTACGAGCCGTGTAGACCAAAGCAAAAGCAGCCTTTTCTGCTAGCGGGTAGTTCTGCTCGGCACCTTGTAACACCTTGCTCACATAGCAGATAGGCTTCTGGCTCTTATTCTCTTCCCTTAGCAGCACTGAACTCACCTCTTCTTCTGTGACCCCCAGATAAAGATATAAACATTCCTCGTCGACAGGCTTGGATAGCAGGGGTGCGGATGCCAAATACTGTTTGAGCTCGTCAAACGCCTGTTGACATTCACCAGTCCACTGAAAGTTTTTAGGCTCCCACAGAGCTTTGAAGAACGGAAGGCACCTTTCTGCCGACCTGGCTATAAACCTGTGCAACGCAGCTACCCGACCTGTCAGACGCTGTACATCTTTTACAGTCTTGGGAGGCTCCATCTGCTGAACGGCCTGGACCTTCTCTGGGTTTACTTCGATTCCTTTCTTGGATACCACGTACCCTAGGAATTTCCCTGATTCCACAGCAAACGTGCATTTCAAGGGATTCAGCTTCATTTGGGCTCG